GCCTCTTTGTCATTGGGAGGCCTGTCTGATGATTTGGGTAAATCTCATGAGTGAGGATCTTTGTGTTTGCTCAGCAAAGAACAACAGTTGCAGTATGTAAATGGGGTACCTCTTCCTTTCGGATGCCTTGGGATATGTTTAATAGATTAAGTTGGCTTTGTCAGAGGAAACAGGTCTGTATTACCAAGAATATGAGTAATGTCGGTTTCCATAATTGCTAACATCTGGCTTTCCATAAATCTGTTAAATTGCATGGAGGCAGAATTAGATTTCTGTGTCATAAGTAAAGCAATCACATGGAACTCTGTAGGCAATATGGTCCTATATTCAGCTGTGAAATCTTTTCATTCTGGAGAGGTGAAAGCAACCCCTGCTTTTGCACCATTTTCATTGTGTACAAGAGACATGTTTGCCTTTATGGTCAGGTTTTCTTGATTTGTAAAAGGAAAACACTGCCAAACTATTTGCAACTTTGTAACTGCAAAATATCCAAGTATTATAACAGCATATTGCTCTCGGGAACTAATTACCAGGTTAGAGATGACTTTAGAGGACACCGTAAGTCACAGATCCTTTTGTAACCACTCTTAGTGGATGGGTCTTCTTTTGCCCTTGTCCTGCAGCATTTGACAGGAAAATAAAATGCTTTGCAGTTGGGGGGGGGCGGGAAGCAGGGGTGCTTTCTTATTTCAGTCTGGTTCCTAGTTTGCTGCATGAATTCTACTGTGAACCAGACTCAAGGACTTTTGCAGATGAGAACTCAATAACAGAATGTTTTCTATGCAGGGCAAGGCTACAGTTATGTCTTGCTCTTACTGAACACTCTAAAGACCAAATTTTAACAAAGTGGGCTTTTTAATAGTATTAGTCTGAATTTTCTGGATTTAGGTAAGTTAAATTAAATACATACATTGAACATCCACAGCCTTCCTGCTATATTTGGCATTGGCAAGAGGAAGAGAAATAAAATTTAGTCTGCGCCCTCAGTGAAATCACTGTCCATGAAGAGGAATATATTAAACATTTAACTTCCTGGAGGTGAGCGAAAGAATAAAATGTGTACGGAGCACAGAGGAAGCAAACTCAGTGCTGATTACCCTGCCCGATGGGAAATTCTGGTGCTGGACTGGGATTTTTAAGACTGCATAGAAGTACAGGTGGCAGAGTAAGGGACAGGCTGACCGTACCAATCAATTAGCCTATAGCTGATCTCATTCCATAGAGGTTAATAATAGAGTAGTCCCATAGTAAGAAAAACCTGAGGTACAAACATGGGAACCAACATAGGCATGTACATTATACCTACCTACGCATATACATATGCCTGTGTGTATTTTTACATTAACAAGTTAAAAGTATATATTAGGGTGTAGAACATGATATTTTGTGATGCATACATCATGTAATGGCTAAGCCAAGTTAATTAACACATGCATTACCTTATACACATTTTTGTGGTGGGAACACAAAAGGCTTTTAGCATTTTTCAAGAATATAATAATATATTGTTAACTATAGACATCATAGTGTACAGTAGACCTTCGCCTATCTGACAGTTTGTATTTATTGCTTTCCAATAAAAAGTGAAGGAACAGAAGGTAACAATTGAAGTGTTAAATAGGGATTTACATTATGATGAAGGCTTGAGCCTTCTAGTAGGCGGATCCCAGTAATACTGGCAAGTGGTAAATACGGGAGTGACACAGACAGATTTGAGTTTCAAGCACTTCCATCCTCTGAAAGATATTGACAGCAGTGGTTTCCATGTGGCTGAACAGGACCCAGAGGTCTATGTCTTTGTACCTCGGTTAAATCAAGCCCTGGTGGTGGTAAACCGGAACACTGTCATTTTTTAAGGCTCTGCATATAGTTTGGTTGTGCGCAGCTATAAATTACACATCATAATGAGAAGTGGCTGGAAGCAAGGAGACCAGACTGGAGGCTGTGACAATAGTCTCACTGTGATGAAGGTGAAGATATGGATCCACAGGGTTTAAGGAAACGTGGGCTCTATTATTTTATTTTATGTTATATCTATTTTATTATTTTTATTTTATTTTATATCTATAGCTACCTATCTATTGTCTAGTTACCTATCATATCCTCCTATATTTATGACAATAGGTTATAACTATGATGAGAAAAATATGTTACTGAATATTTGTAATACATCACTTTCAGAAAAACTAAGGAGTGGTAGTAATGCAAATGTGGCCATTCAGTGTTGAGCTAAGGTGGTATAAACCTAAATATGAAGCCACCGTCTACCAGCTGTCATTACTGTGGAAGTTCAGAAAATGTGAGTGATAGTATTGAATTGGCACCATGTTGAGAGATGCTTAATTGAGAAGGCAGAACTTGAATTTTGTCTTACATGTTTACATTAATCTAATGAAGAAACAGACATAGATGGAGTCCTTGTTCTATTATCTATATTGTAATTTTCAGAAGACCATAGATTGAGCAACATGTTCATGTAGATGATAAAGACGATTTACAGAGGCTAAGGAATGTGTCCAACAGCACATAATTGTGAGGTGTAAAATGGTAGGCATCCCGTTAAAGGGAAGAGCGTGGTTTCAACCTGGTTCCCCTGACTCTTTCATTCAATACTAAATTTTCTTGACAAGAATTAGAGGAAGAAGAATGCGAGGAGAGAGGATTCGTGGAGCACTGTGTGCTCAAAGGTGCTGAGAGCAATCTGAGCATGACCCTGAAGAGAAAGTGTGAGCCAGACTGTGGTTGACCTGAAAGCCAGGCGTGATAATTGGGGATCATTTGAGCAATTTTCAAGAGGAATCAGTGTTCCTTAACCCAATGGCTTGACTGAGGCTATGATTGTGGGCCGAAAACAACGACAGCAAAATAAATCTTGGAAGGAATTACCATTATAAATTTTGCTTGAATTGCTCAATATCTTCCACTTTGTATCACTGCTGTGAATTAAAGTTCATGCTAATACAGTGCGTGCAGTCGGGAAGGAATTGACCATCCAGTTCTCATTATTTTCAAGTCATCTGTGCTTCAAAATTTTAACACATTTTGGGTAATTATATTGTATCATATTGTTTTCAGAATTTCAACTAAAATACTAAAAGTGATCTACCAGGGGGTGATGGACAAATATAGTGAATGTTCAGTTTTAAAAATTAATACAATGAAATACACATTGTCATTAATCTCCCTCAAAATACCAACCACACTTCAAATGCACCTATCCCAAAGCAATGTGTCTTCTAAACTAATGATTTCTTAAAATGTAATCACTCTTTGTATGCAAGGTCGTGACCTTGAAAGGGAATGCCGTGTCTAGATGGTAAATGGTTAAAAGTAGATAAAACCACAGAACATTCTTATGCTAAAAAAAGACTTACGACATGGAGTTGGCGCAAGACACTGGAAAGAACTCTAGTACATCAGTCAGAAAGCTGAAAACACAATCCCTACTCCCTAAGGTGCTGTCTGTGTGACCAGTCAGCACCTCAGTTTCCTCTTTTGTAAAAGGAGAATAAATATTTCAGTCTTATGGTTGTATACCCTAACTCATAAAAATAACATAAAAGCTATACATGTCCATAAAACTATATACATGTGTGTATGTAAATATATAAAATTGTATCAGTGAAACTGATGTTATCCTTTTAGAATTGCTCGGTGCACTGTAGAGAATATGCTCTTTGTGATTTTTAAAAATTTGTTTGTGTTATCCGTAACCAAATGGTTACAAACTTATGTACATTTTTAAGATTAGTTTTAGGATGTAGATAAGTTATTATTCTGATATTTTATTTTCCCACAGAAATCAAGCCTACCAAAAAGTAGCCTACTAATGGTTGTTTATATATACTCCTGTGTTCAGCCTATCAGCTTCAGGGCGATATAGTGTCTTACAGGTTAATTTCAACACTTATAACATCTAGTGTGCAAGGAATCTTATGCATAGCATGCTTTTGGTAAAAATTTGAGCTCATTTATTATCTGAAGGATGCTTGTACCCCTGGCAGCAGATTATTCAGGAGGAACAGAAGACTCTGATAGCCAAATTACAGATACCTTCAAATGGCTTAAAAATGTTACAAAGTTGAAAGACCCTAGTAGATTCTTTTTGAGGAGTCTCACAAATAGTACCAGTGAGTAGACATTACCAGGTCGTTTATTTTATCTCAAGTTTAAAAGGGCATTTCTTTTTAACAGTCATTCAAAGGTAGAATCGGCTGCCTCGTGAGGTAATGGGTTTTCTTCTGGGAAAGAGAGCAATCCAGGCTAAACAGGCAGGTGTTTAGAGTGTTCTTCAGGTCACTCAAACTTTGCCTGTCAGCATGAGTTGGCTGAATCTGTATTTTCCTTTACCTGGCTGTCAATGAAAACAGTATAACATATATACATCTTTCGTCAGCATCCCTACCAGACTCTACGGAAGCTCTGATATTATTTTTGTGTGGTGCCAGTATGCTACTGGCCATACAGGTGGAAGGAATTTGATTAGACAGGTCAGCTACCAAGAATTACTCCCACTTATTTCAGCCCTGGATTCAAGACCCAGGGGGAAACCTTATGGGGTCAAGGTTGCCTAATTGCCCACTTGTTCCTACACACACATTTTCTAAGAAACCTCAGTGTCCACGGTTAATGAATCGGCATTGTTTATGGTAACTGGAGGAACTAGCACTTAATGATGTCCCAAAAGCCATTCACAGCTCCTACTGGATGTTGTAGTAACTGGAGTCAGGCAGCTCTGGGGTTGATTTTCAGGATAACCACCTGCTATTTAACTCTAGTGGCTTCTGCTCCATTATTTACAAAATAGGAATAAGAGCTGATCCTCCCACACAAAACTGCTTTGCAGAGTAAAGGAAATAATGCATGGGAGAGCCTGGCGGAGTAGCTACACTGGGCACAAGGTCAATGTCTAATAATGTTACTCAGTGTTATTGCAAATGATTGTTATTTTGTGAGTTCCCTTGGCTGGATCCTAAAGCCCTGTGCTTTATTTATTGCAGACATTGATGAATGTGCCTTAAGAACTCACACCTGTTGGAATGACTCTGCCTGCATCAATTTGGCAGGGGGCTTTGACTGCCTCTGCCCCTCTGGGCCCTCCTGTTCTGGTGACTGTCCCCACGAGGGAGGACTGAAGCACAACGGACAGGTGTGGACCCTGAAAGAAGACAGGTGTTCTGTCTGTTCCTGCAAGGTGAGGCTGATGTGGTGCAGGGCACTTTGTAACTACACTTTCTCTCCTCCCTTTACTTTTCTGCCTTCCACTTCCTCCCCCTGAGTGGTTGACTCACGGGTCCCCTGTAGTTCCTGAAAAGCTCCTGCTCTCTTCTACACTGCAGTGAATGATGAAGCTGCATGGCAGGAAATGTGCTTCGAATGGAGTGTGCTCTTAGTGAAAAGTGAGTGTGGAGTTGACAGGAGACTGCAGGATGGGGAAGCAGGGCAGAGAATGAAGTGCTGTTCTGCCCACTGAGAACCTCCAGCGCCTTTAAGGTTGGCTGGGGGAGAGCTTTAATAAGCCCTCAGCCTACACTTACATAAACTTGCCCATTAAAACTATGCTTTTCCTAAAATGATTACCTGCACAAACTTGCTCACTTTTGGGTGGTATCTTCTAGGAAAGTGAGGCTCAAAGTCTTGCTTCCAGTGGTCAGACAGGTAGAATTCTATTCTGAGTGAATGGCACTGATAATATGAGGTCTCTTTATCACTGGTGTCTTTTACATTCTCAGGCCTGGGCCAATCTTACATTAAATTGCTTGCAAGTGAGTTTAATGCTTACGAAAATAAAATTCTGTCACCATGTGCTTTTATTTTATGCTTTGGAAAATGGGTCTATTAAAGTGTTTGATTTCCTTGTGCTTTAGTTCTTCTTTTGTTGATCCTTCCCATTTATTTTTCTTTGTTATTGCTTTGCTGTAGCTCTTTCCTAGAATTTCTATGTCTGTTGGAATGAGACTATTTAATCTTGGGCTTTATGGACATGAAAACCAAGAGAAATTATTTGCTCACAAGCCTCTTAGCGAGGCAGGTCTCCTGATAAATTCTTAGTGTGCTCTTTAGAAGCAGACTAGAATAAGCCTTTAAAATCATAAAACTCATCTACCCTGCTTTCAAGTCTGCCATACCCCAAGAGACCTGGAGGGGCCTGTTTAGGAGCACTGTACTGCCAGATGTGTATGGTATAGCACCTATATTTTCCCCTTATGCTTAAACCAAGTTCCAAGCACCCAAATTTAGGTTATTTCTTCCACTTATTGATTATCTGCTGTTTCAGGCACCCTGTAATTTAAAAACTGCACTAAATTCATTCTTACAGCAAACTTTGTAAAATGCAAAGCCCCAGTCTGTAAGCAGCAAGTAACTTGCCCTAAATACTGGAGATACATGTGTCTGTATGGGCCCGGGGTATTCATACAGCACACAAGGACTTTAAGCTCATTTGTTGCAAAGTTCGTAGTTTTCCATATTGTCACATGCCCTGCAAACTCTACAGAAGATACCTATTGGTATCCTTAAAACCAGGTAGACAATCTGTCAATCCAGCTTGCTTGATCAAGCCAGCTCAAGCTCTCTGAAGTATGTTAATACCAGGGAGACATTTCCTTAAAAACATTTTAAGATATTGACAGTAACATTCAGTCATCTGGTATTGACTCAAAGGACAACAGTTTTTTAAGAGAAAGCAAATCCTACCACCGCACTGCGATTTCCGGTGAGAATCAGCTGCTGTACCTTCAGCAGCAGCCAGAGCCAGAAGGGCAGCAGGAGGACCCGGCAGAGGGCTGAGCGTGGACTGTTGAGAGGAGGCCAGAAGGTTTTGAGCACAGAAGGAATTGCTGGGTAGGTTTGGGGCCAGTATGGTGGCCATGGACAGGATTGAGCAGACCATGGATCTGGTGAAGAATCATCTGATGTCCGCTGTGAGAGAGGAGGTAGAGATCTCCAAGGAGCAGATCCGGCCAGTGGAGAAGAACTCCAGCTGGAGCATGAGAACACCCTCCTGAAGACCCTAGAGAGCCCTTAGCAGGAGAATCTGCAGTCCAGGCTGAGCCCTGAGGAGCCAGCTCCTGAGTCCCCACATGTGCTGAGGCTGCTGATGGCTCTGTAGTACAAGTGGCTCCATCCCCAAGGTGGGCAGAGCCACCAAACTTGTTCAACCTAGTTCCTATCAGTTTTCTTTTGGGTCCCCAGGCACCATCTCCTTTGGAGAACTTTAGATCTAGCAGAGCTGGTGCTAAGACATGCTCCAAGACACAGCCACCTGGGTCCAGTCCATCGACAGACCCCTGACGAAGAGCAGGTCACTGGAGGCTGAATTACAGGAGTCTTAGTAACCCCATGCTGGTGAGCCTCTAGTGCCACTGTGGTCTGGGGGCTTCCACAGCTTGGACAACTTAGCTGCTACTGGCAAAGGACAAAGGACAAAGGTGGTTTGAAATGTGACAGTTTGCTCCAGGAAGTGTAAGGGTCCTGGTTTTCATTTCCATGGCCATCTTCAACAACTTCACTGGACAATGACCATCCCTGTGAAGGAGTCACCTGTGTTTTAAGCAGAGGCAACTTCTCCTTTCTCTCCTGCCTCTCCAAAGCAGGGGTCACAGAGGAGAGATTGATCCAAGTTGGCCTTCTGTTGGCTAATGTGGCATAATGCATGGCTTTGTGCACAGCCTAGTGTGAGATTACAGTTTGGGAAGGATCACCTACAAAGGTCAGCTTGATTAGTGGCAGAAGATCAGCTTGGATTTTGCACTGTCACTTAAAACTTTAAAATAGCCCGAAGGCCCATCAGCTGGAGACTGGGTAAAGAAGATGTGGGTTTCTATAAAATGCAGTACTACTGAGCCATAAAGAATGAGAAACTAGAGACATTTATAGCTAAATAGATGCATATTGAGGCCATACTCTTAAGTGAAATAAATAGGACACACATGTGTAAATACCGAATAGCTTCTCTAGTGTGAGAAACTGAAAGTGTGAATAAGGATTAAAATGATTGAAACAAATAATTGGTAAATTGAAATAGGAAAAGGTCCAAAGGTGTAGGGGTGGTGGGAGGGAAAGGGGAAAGGAAAGAATGGAAAGGAAAAATTATGAGGAAAGAAAAAAAAATGGAAACAAAATCTATGTAAATAGGGCAGGGTGGAGGGGTGAAGGGCGCACAGGGAATGGGGAAAAAATAAGAACCAAGATACATTATGTACAGGCACAAGCACCCAATGATAAATGGAAATGTATTGTATACCTAAAATCTATCACTAAAAGAATTTTTTTAAAAAACTTAAAAAAAAATTGTGGAGAATTTTCAGAGGAATGGCAGACTTGCAACCTACTGTGGATGAGAGATAGACAAGTGAATGAAAAGTTTTGAACCCACGGGGCCTGGGCATGTGGCCAGAGAGCTTGTCTCTGATGAGGCTGTAACAGTGAACACTTTCCACTTTCTGACACCTGATCCTGATATGCATCTCCAGGATGTGGGCTTTCATTTTTCTTTATTTTTATTTTTATTAGTACATGTTTGATGTAAAGAATGCTTGCATTCATTATGGGAATTGTGTACATGTATGCAAGAAGAATTATATTAAATTTTCCAATGTGGCTTGAAATTTCAATAAACTTTGAATTTTTTTTCAAAATGGAGAGAGAGAGAGGGAGAGAGAGAGGGAGACCGAGACCTGCTGGAATAGTGGAGAAGGGTTAATGAAAGAGGTTTTGTGTTCCACTAGCAAAATAGGGATGCATTCTTCGCTGAATTTTTTAAGAAGGTATTATCTCCCAAAACTTTTGAGGATGATCACAGCCTGAATCCAAATCCTTTTTAACATTTCCAGGTCACCAGTCCCTCGAATAGGCAAGGGACTTTAGTGGAGTATTGACTAGTGTGAGACTAAACTTCTTTTGCAAGCTTTTATTTAAGTCCATGATAAAGCAGGGGACCAAGCAATCATTCCAACTCCCAGGGCTTAATTAATGAACTATGTTAATAAGCCAAGCATTCTGAGTTATCTATTTTGACTCCTAAAGCACTTCCAACGTCTTATGAAAATGAGACTGAGATTACCACAGGAGGGGAGCAATTCGTGCAATCTTATTCCATCAAGAAGATGAACCCTCACCTCCTCCTTTTCCGAACCAAAGTCTAGGCATAGCCCTGTACATAAATCTTGTGGTCAATGTTTTGTTTTTCAATTGAATTCATTGCTCACTTAGAGGAGAATTTCCCAGAGGTTGTGAGGATGAGGAGGACCTGGTTTTAGATCCTGAATTAAGGACTCTGAATCAGTTCTGGAAATCATCCTCAGAAAAAAAAACCTTGTGATCTTCTTGTTTGTTTTTTTGTCATTTGCATTTGAAAGCATCCTATTCCAATTTCATAAGAAGTATCTGCAGTACTTAAGGATCCAAATGGATGGTTAGAATGATATCATCTTACAAGCAATAAAATCAAGGTTAGGATATGAATTATTTTCAGTCATATCCTTGATGTTTTAATGTCACATAAAATGAGAGCATACAAAAGCAGAATCACATAAGCCAATAGATGATCCAGGCTCACCGCTGAGAGAAACAGAGTCAAAGCTGTTCTAAAAGGCCAGTCTCTCCTCGGGAGTCAGTACGCTGGTTATGCTGGTAGTGTTTCATGTCAAATGAAAGAAGGGGCTAGAAGCATGTCCACAGATGCATAGGGTTCAGTGTGAAGGCTGGCCAGTGCAGGTGGATTTGAGCTTTTCTTTACAGTGTAAGCTTTTCCTGCAGAGTAATAAGGCTTTGTGCAACTTTAGACTGCTTAGTTGTTAAGGCAAAGAACAACGGTTGGACTATTTAGAACCCGTATCTTTCAGCATTGTCTGGAGTATAGAAACACAGGTTAAAAAAAGAAGTCACTACTCTGCATGGCTCTTAAATCTTGGTTATATCCTAAATATTTTTCATAAACACAAATGTGTGACTCTTATGTTCATAAATGTGTCCAGGCCTCAAGAAGACGTTTATTTTCTACATGTGTTACAAAGGAAGGTAGAGGAGTCCTATTGGTTCCTATTATGCATCCTATTATTGGTTCCTAGAAAATGTGCACTTTAGAAGGAGTAGTTTTGTTTCTCTTGGAAGTCATGGAGAAGGAGAAGGAAAGAGTTTTTGTTAGTCCCCTGTCACACTGTGGTCATGAGTGATTTGCTGTGGGAACATGGA